ATCAATTTCGTGATGCTGTATACGATTTCGTGGTGTTTTAATCAATTTCGTGATGCTGTAGACGATTTCGTGGTGTTCTTATCAATTTCGTGATGCTGTATACGATTTCGTGGTGTTTTAATCAATTTCGTGATGCTGTAGGCGATTTCGTGGTGTTCTTATCAATTTCGTGATGCTGCAGGCAATTTCGTTCCAATGAATTTCTTGATATACTGTAGACGATTTCGAGATGTTTTTCCTAGTGAGCCCCGTCTCTTTCAAAAATAGAGAATCCTCATAACATTACTGGAAAATTCTGGCAATTTTGTAAAGATAATCGCAGATAGTCTAGTGATGCCAAAGCTGGCAATTCTGGGAATTTTCAGCAGCAACTCATAACAGTTCCTTTTATTTACTGTGCTGTTTTTTATGGAAGACAATGACATTTTATTGTCCAGACGGGCCTTTGTTTTGTTTCTTCTGTTTTAAGTAAGTCTTATGATGATATCGTAGGATTTAGTGTTGACCTGTTCCATGGTAGAGACAAATTTGCAATATTCGAGGTGGTTTTGTAATGTTCAGTGTGGTTTTGTAATATTTTGCGGATTTTGATGTTCAAGGCTTTTGTTCAGTGTCGTTTTGTGCCTTTCCAAAGCGGTTTTATGTAATTTGTAGAAGTGCAATGTGCCGAAGTGATTTTGTTTTATTATCTTTAATTTTGCAGCGTTTCTTGAGGTTTTATAATTTTGCAGTTGGTTGAGCAAGGCTACAATTATTATTTATCATTTTTCAGACATTTTTTACCATTTTGTGCAGCAGACATGATTTGTTGGTATTAGAAAAGGTGATGATTTTTTTGTAATGTTGCATTAGTTTCAGACAAGTATTTCATGGTGAGCACGTTAGTACAGTTTCCGCGGTCAGATATCTATTGAGGTCAAAACAAAAGACAGTCCAGTCAAGCGTATCTGACTGTACTTTGACACCACGACGCTACATTAACATAACATAATCAAACGATGCCCGCGATGACAACTTTCTTCAAGAAGAATTAGAATCGTTCACAGTGTATCGACGTAGTGACAATTAGACAATCAGTCTCGTTCATCATGGAGGATTGTCAATGAGATGATTATTGTAAACTGTGCAAAAAACGTGTTGAAGCTGGTCGTAGTTGTGTTTATGAAGTTATGTAAATAGTACAGTCAGCCAAAAGACAAACTTTGTCGATTTGAACAAGAAAAAGACAAATGACGAAGGAAAAGGTTTCCAGTGAAACATTGAAGTTCGTCAAACCCTAGGGTTTACACCATGACATCATAACCAAGAAGTTTTCAAGACTTGTACGAACAATGCTGATGCCAAGGAAGAAGTCGGCTTCTATTCTGATTTTTATAATTGCCTTATTTATATTGAGTTTCACAATCCCTAACAGGGAGTTAATCAAGTCAACAAATATCAAAAAGAGAAACCAGAAAAGTTTGGAAACAACGTTATCGATAGGACGATTTGAGCGTCGCCGCCATGATCGTGGGAAAACTGCTAAAACACACTTTAAATACTCAAAACAAAAACCAAATAACGAAAAGAAAGTTTATGTCGTCACAGACAATAAAAGGAGTTTAAATCAAGGTAAGTTTGTTGTATTTTTGCAGTCACGTCCTTAGTTGCCATAAGTTGTTTTGTCACGGTCTGTGACTCGAGTGAAAAGCGATTTTCACTTACAATATTGACCGTGCCAACTTAGCACTAATATAAAAGCACATATAACATTAAATATGAATAAATATAAAACTTCAATTATCACAAGAATAAACCATGACAAGAAACGTTTTAGTCTTGCATGCTATTTCCTTAAAACTATCACTACGTCATCAAACAAAGATTTCTTAGATAACACTTACAATCGACCGAGTATGTACATTACTCATTAGACCGTCTGGTCATAAAAATAGTATTTTCACTGTCCGGTCCGTGGAAAAGCCGCACTGTGCCCTTAAAATGACATCACAGGAAGTCCACGCAACTTTGTCGGCCAAAAACAACATCAACACCTAAATCATGTAAAATAAATATGCTATGTATTTGTGACACGACATTTTGATGACACAGGGAAAAAGAACGCATTATATTCTAACGATAGAAAAAGAAATGTTTTCAACCTTGAGCAACGCGATGTTACATATAGGGGAGGCTGCACACGAGGTTATCATTATCTTGACAAATTGAACATGTCAATGTATATAACGCGATTCCTTATCAATGTCACAACCCTCTCTGTACCCTGATTTATCAAACCTTTTAGATTTAACGGGTTTTTTCTCTCCAAATTGAAGCAATCAACCATCTCCAGAGGCAGTTCCCAACCGTAATCATTCTAGGTGTCAAAAAGGCTGGTACCAGGGCACTTTTAGARGCCCTTCAAATGCACCCAAAGGTAGTTGGAGCTTCAAATGAGGTGTATTTTTTYAATGGGTTTCATACAAGAGGTCTTGAATGGTACCGCCAAAAGATGCCCCTGTCCTCCTCTGATCAAATAACAATAGAAAAAAGCCCAACGTACTTCACGAGCGTAGAAAAGACCCAAGTAGTGCATAGGATGTTTGTGTTTTCAAGATCTACAAGCAAACCGCTGAAACTCTTGGTAGTTGTGCGCGACCCCGCTGAACGGTGTTTGTCCGAGTACACCGACCTACTAGCACGAAGCCGCAAGGACGAAATACCAGCTGTAAATGAGAAGTTTGAAAGCTTTGTTCTCAACAAAAATGGTTCAGTGAATGCGAATTCATCTCTTGTAAAGACAGGAGTGTATATTAAACATTTACGACAATGGTTGGAGTATTTCCCGCCAAACGAGATTCACTTTGTCAGCGGAGAGGGCCTGGTTAAAAACCCTTATAAGGAAATCAAGGCTGTAGAGACGTTTCTCGCTCTGCAACCTTTCTTTACGAAGAAAAATTTCAAATTTGAGCAACGGAAAGGTTTTCCATGTTTTGTCCCTGATGGTTCTGATGAGGGTAAATCTTTCTGTCTTCCACCAAACAAAGGTCGTAAACACGTACAAGTAAAAAGAAGAACTTTACAACTACTACGAGAATTTTATCGACCTTACAACAAACAGTTTTATGAAATAGTTAGARGGAACTTCTATTGGTCTTAAAACATGTTCAAGAAACAGCAATAGTTGCCATATCACCTTGGCCATGCAGCCTAACACTGTTTTTCTCCTTTATTTTATCACAGTTTTCCCCCTTAGCCCCCTTTCATCAATGTTGGGTCTTGTTTTGGATGCTTGTGTACTATGGTAACATGATCAATGACAACATTGTATTTAGGGGGTCAGGGGGGTGAAAAAAGAAAATCCGCAAAAATGATGCAAGGTTTTTGGCAAAGATTGCAGTATAACATGTGCATAGAAAAATGTCTCTACTAAATAAGCATGCCTTGTCTACTGCAAATACAATGTTATTAAAGTTTGGCATGATTCAAATATCTGAAGTATTCTTTGTTTGTCTTGGCTTTGACGATGTGAACTTTTGGGTTCGATCTTTTTGGTGTGTAGTGTTTTCATTTTGGGTTCGATCTTTTTGGTGTGTAGTGTTTTCATTTTGGGTTCGACCTTTTTGGTGTGTAGTGTTTTCATTTTGGGTTCGATCTTTTTGGTGTGTAGTGTTTTCATTTTGGGTTCGATCTTTTTGGTGTGTAGTGTTTAATGMGGTGTATAGTCAAGTCAATAATTGCGAAGCAGAAGATGTTATTACCATATTATTTATTATCAAATATATAGATAGATATTTTGTTTGCAATCAACATGAACTGAGACACATTTAGCTGGATCAAGCGAAATCAACAAGTCTTGAGCTAGTTTTCCGATTTCCTGACATCAGAATCTAAAACACCATTTATCTTGAATGTGAATTTTAGGTTATTTTGGAGAGATTACATACATTTGTACACTACGTATTTGTCGGAGGGAAAAGGTTTAGTCGAATTTTAGTTAATTCAAGTTGAATAAATTTTAAACAACATGCAGAAAACAGGAAAAACAATCAGACAATTATTAAAGTGCAATGCAAACAATATACCTGTGAAATAGTGACCGTTAATAGTGATTAGAATATGAGAAACAAATGATTTAGTCTAAGTTGTAGAGTGCTCGCCCTAAATGYGTGAAATATAAATACTACAAAATAGGTGATAAATTATACAAATTCCTTTGTTTCCTATTTTATGATCAACACTATTTAGTAGCAATTAGTACTATTTGTTTCACGCTTTAAGTGCGAGCATTCTAGCACTATGTTGTTAGCTATCTATTTCACATGTGTATTATTTGCACTCTTGTTCTGTTTTTTTTTTTATGTTTATGTCATTCTCTGTTTTCTTGCTTGCGTCATATTGTAGACCTTCACGTGATTGCTTGCGTCATATTGTAGACCTTCACGTGATCGCTCAATCTGAAGTCATTATAATAATTTCACGATGTTCACTGACAGCAATTCTAACCAATCACCAAGCTGAAAGGTCACCATACGAAATTCACTGAAATGGCTTTGCAAACCCAGGATGTTTTGAGTGGGTCGAGGGGAGACTGGTACGAGCAAATCCTTGCAGCTCCTACTTAAATGCCAGTAGGCTTTCATCTAAACTGTGTGACATCATCCATCTAAACTGTGTGACATCATCCATCTAAACTGTGTGACATCATTCATCTAAACTGTGTGACATCATTCATCTAAACTGTGTGACATCATTCATCTAAACTGTGTGACATCATTCATCTAAACTGTGTGTCGTTATGTAGAGGTTCTATTGTACACATCCAATAAATGTTGTCAGAAAATCGGAAAACATTCAAGCAAACGTTTTTTGTCAAATACACAACACATAACCACGACAACCATTGTGGGAATATTTACAGCAGATGAACATCATTTATAAACAGCTTTTACTGAAATAAAAATACAAAAACGTTAAAACGTGACCGTCAAGAATAACATTCACTTATACAACAACAACCGTTGCCATGGCTTCCTAAAACTACTAGTTACCGATCATAATTTGGCACGCAAACACAATAGATGAAGATGACTTCGTCATGTCCAAAAACTTAGCTTTGATAACCTTTTCGAGGTTCGACGCATAGGTTGGTACTGGAACACACATCACGTAATTCAAAAGAAATAAAGTAAAAAAAATAAAGCAGGTTTTATCAACTCACCTTGTGCACTGAACAAAATATCGTAAAATTTTCTTCCACAAAAGCACAACCTTTAAAAAAAGACTGAAGTAAATAGGAGTGATTGATATATGAATAATACGTTTTTTGATTGATGTACCTGAGTCACGTGCACAAGCAAAATGGAAAATTGAATTACAGCCTCTCTTGAAGCACTGCAGTGTTGCACCAAGTTCCATACACTTTGAGCATTTCTTGAAACAGAAAACATTCTATACATCAATGTTACTGTACATCACTTCTAATACAGCTGAAACGCCGATTACTGAATACAGTTTCAAGCTGATCTTCGCATCACCGATAAAAGGTGTTTCACTGTTTAAAGCGCTACTTGGACGAAAACTGCGAAACATTAGAAAAGACTTGAATATCAAACAGACTGATCCATATGGGTCTAATAATCATGAAGCAACAGATTTCAAGAAGATATTGATACAAATCCTAATAATTTGGGCAAAACATGTTGGAATAAATGACGTCATTTACTTCATCCTTTTGTTCTTCCATCTTTTGAATCAAAATTTCTCTGACGTGGGATAAYTCCAAAACAAATATTTTCCCACAATTGTTTTTARTAGATATAAATGAGACATATATCACTGGAAAAATAGCGCGCTTTAAAGGTTGTAAATTTGATGTATGATGTAAGTGTCCAAAATTCTGTAAATTTGATGTAAATGATTTCCATTAAATTTACAGAATTTTGGACAATTCCATCATATTTACATCAAATATACAACCTTTAAAGCGTGCGATTTTTTCCAGTGATATATGTCTCATTTATATCTATTAAAAACAATTGCGGGAAAATATTTGTTTTGAAATTATCCCACATCAGAGAAATTTTGATTCAAAAGATGGAAGAACAAAAGAATGAAGTAAATGACGTCATCTACTCCAACATGTTTTGCCCAAATTATTAGGATTTGTATCAATATCTTCTTGAAATCTGTTGCGCGCGATTTTTTCCAGTGTATTTGTATTGCTCAAAGTTTTGAAATAGTCAACAATAGTCAACAATTTAGTTTAGAATAGTTTTCTTCACTGTTCCCTGCGCCATCTTAAAAAGTAACCGTGTCTTTGTCATCGAAGCGAGACGACTGTTGAGAATGCAACGAAGAAAACCTTTGTTCACACCCATAAGTAATTATTCACAGGTTTCTATCACTCGCATCGCTCCAATTCAAAAGCGCGGTTACCTTTCAARATGGAATACCGTGAAGAATTCTATTACCGTGGAGTCCAATAGCACCAATGCATTTCGGTAATGGAAAACGATATCCGGTATCTAGCTGTACACAGCTATCAATACTACATCTACCAGAAATTCAAATAAACTTCATCAGGTTTAATAGCTGAATTAACATCACCTTCGCCAGCCACACCAGCAGATTTCACGTGAGTACACAACGCCGTCACGTGACTGAACTGTTCTTTAGAAATCATATTTTCACAATTCGATGTTTTCCGCGGCGCCACCTTAAGGGGCGTACAAATCAACTATCGCACCATAGTTGTATCTTTAACTGTTTAAGATGCAGATTCGAAAGAAGCCGTATTTAATTCAAATCTGTCGAATTTTAATTAGTTTATAAGCCGCACCTCACATGAATTTAATTGTGAATTGTATTCGACACGTGAAGTTCGACGGTTAACCTGGGCCTAAGTTAGCCGAATCTTGTTTCAATAGTTCACCGGGGGCTGTATGTAAGAGAATGCTTACAACTCAAATAAGACCAAATAGCAACAAAGGTTACAGCAAAGAGAATTCAATTTGTTCACAACAACTATGTCCAAGTCAAGAAAACACAAACGATTTCTAACGTGCAGGTTCAATAATTGAGACATTCACTATGAGAAAGTTGTGAGCTATTTCCAGCCTTGATTGAAGGAAAAAAATAAACATTAATTGCACTTACATGTGACGCAGCACTCTCTACAGCTTGTTCTAAGCCATACAATGATCTTCCAAGCATATATACCCCTTGTGACCAGCTGCCGCAGTCTTTATGTATCCATAATTCTATAGTATTTCCTTCTAGTTCTGTGGGTAGCTCTGGTATTCTACTGCCTGGAGAGAGTAACTTATCAGGTGATCTGCACTCCCTGCTACTATCAGATCGTTCACGAGACAGTTTTGCTTTATAAGGTCCATAAAGAACACCAAGAGAGCTGTGATTGGACGGTTTACCACAAAAAGAACACACCCATTTGTCCCCGTCTAACCCTCCCCTGGGTTGCACTAAAAGAGTTCTTGTCGGAGAGAGGGGTGGGGGAATCATTTTAGGTCTTTTAGTTTGTCTAGTTGTTTTGCTAACAGTAGGAACGTTTATTGCATGTGGCTTTTTGTGTTTTTCAGATACATGATCGCCTTTCTCATTACTTGACACAATACTGGTATCAACCGGTTTTCCCCGTTCCTCCGGGGGTCGTTTATACAAATAACTCTTTCTTTTATGTTTATCTTTGCTGCCTGGTGGTCGCCCAATTCTCTTCTTTACTTCAACAGCCTCTGTTTGATTATGCCTTTCTTGTTCAAGTTTGGCTTTAATGGCATTTAAATTCTTTTCTAGATTAGACGCTTTACTTGCTGCTGATGGAGATGATTTCATGCTATGAAAACGAGAGCTTTCTCCCTCTGACCTTGCAAATCTTGACTTTACAAAGTTGTTATCAGTCTGACTTGATACCGTAGATTTGACATGTTCATTGTCAGCCATTTCAGCAGTAGGAGAGAGAAGTGATTTTTCTCTACAAGCAAGATCTATCTCCATCTTACCATCTACTTCACCTCTTAACTCATCTTCACTGTCTTCATCATAGCGAGTTTTATTGGACTTTGACTTATCGGTTTTCTGTGTTAAATTGGGAGTGATATTGCCAACCATGACATGAGAAGACTTGCCTTGACCTTGATTGACACATATAACTTTATTACCCTTCTCTCCGTTAGGTTGCTGGACAGTAATATTCTGCACTGGAATCAAGACATTTCCTTGAATAAGGTACATTTGTCCAGCTGCTGTTTTGGCCACTAAAACCTGCTGGTTTGATTGTGCTGACTGACCCTTAGCAATCACGGTTGCTTGGATAGTGGGTGGATGTCCAGATCTCGATATACTGACTTTAGTACCAGGTGACTTTGGCATGGTTTTACTAAGCAGCGTTTTAGGCTGAACATCWTTTACTGATACAGTGATATTTTTATTATTGTCTGCTTTTAATGAAGGCTTCTCAACAATGCGTGGAGTTTGAGTACCTCCTGACTTGGTTGTGTCTGTTGCCTTGACTACCTTGACTGKCTCATCAAGGTCTTTATCCGATTTGTCAGATGAATGAGTATTGTCTTTGCTTGTTTCTTGAGTTGTCTGAGACAACTGTGGAGATTTCTTTTCATCTTTAATGGGAGAACTGCTTTCTTTATGTTGCTGAACAGTGTCGGGTTTCTTCTTTTCACTAGGTGACTCGTTATTCTGTGGTTCACTTTGGGAATTATCTTTTTTTTCAACATCAGTGTCTTTACTTTTCTCTATAGCTTGACTTTTATCAGTTTTGTCCTTTTCAGTTAAAGCATCTTTCTTATTTTCAGACATATCTTCACTTTCTTTTTGTTCATCTTTTGCCTCAGTAGGGTTTTGCTTATCTATACTATCTTCATTTTTCCTTTCTTCATTTCTTATCCCTTCCTTTCCCATCTCTTCATTACTCTTCTCTTCATTTTTCTCCACTTCATTTTCCCCCTCTTCATTTTTGTTCTCCTCACTTTTCTTCTCTTTATTTCTCTCTTCAGTTCGGCCTTCTTTCGGATCGGAATCTTTCAAGTTAGCAGTTTCTTCTGTGCTCTTTTCTGTTAGTGGCTTCTCAGCTAAGTTAGTGACATCTTCCTCCTTAGAGGGTTCTGGTCCATCTTTGTGGTTCGTTTCTGGTTGTTTGGTGTCTGTATTTACAGGATCACCAACAGCATGAGACAAACCTTCTGCAAGATGAGGAGACACACTTTCTGCAACTTCTTCCAGCTTCTGCATGCTTGACTTTTCCTTGTTGACAGATTTCCTGGCTTTCTTCGCTGGTGGTTGTCCAATCTCAGGAGTAGCTGGTGGAGGTTGTCTTTCTGTCTTTCTGACATCACTAGTTGGAGGATAGGGTGCTGGCATGGTGGTTGATGTTTTTTGAAATTGTGGTGGTGACTTGTGAGCTTGGTATGGAGGTGGTGATCTCATGGGTTTAAAAGGAGGAGATGACTTGCCAATTTGTGGTGGTGACCTCTGAATTGGAGAGACTGGACCACTATTACTTTTCATTGGATGCATTCCTGGAAGATGACTCTGTTGATTAGGAAATGATGTTCTTCTACTTGGACTAACAACTGGACCAGAAGGTCCAGTAATTCCTCCTGACGACATCTGTCCCTGGTATTGGTGCTGAGCTGACATTTTTTCTAATCGTTGTGCAAACATGCACGAGCTTTGATTCTGTGACATGGTAGTGGATGTTGCAGGGTACTGAGGACGCTGTGGTGGCATACTATATACCCCTTGAGGTACCATAGAAGATACAGGTGATGTTGATGACCGCCTGGGACCATGTCCAACCATTGGTTGAGTCATTGGTGATGTAGGTGGTTGCCCAGGAAAATTAGTTGTCATATTTGGAGGTGAATGAATCTGTTGCGAGGCAGGTGATCTGGGAGGAAAGAATGACTGTCCTAATGGCTTCTGCAAAGGTGACATAGATGATTGTCCACCGTACCCTGTAGGATATGATGACCCATTTCCACCTACTCCCATTTGACCTGGTAGAGGATAACCAGCACCTGGAATTTGCTGATGAGATGCTGGTGATTTGGGTTGGTAAACATCTGAGTAGTAGTTTTGATGTCCATATCCAACAGAGCTTGAAGATGAAGCATACTGGCCCATACTCCTACCTGGTGTTCCATACTGGCCAAGACTGCTCAAAAAGCTCCCATTTTGTCCATAGTACATGGGTGAAGTTGCCTGTTGATGTCCCATGCGTTGCTGGGTGTATCCTGGATAACCCTGGTAGTTATTATCACTATATGACGTCTGTGATTGTGAATAAGGAGGTGACATCATGTCGCCTTGTTGCATCATTGTACTTTGTGGCATCATCTGATATGGTGATCCTTGCTGTCCCATGGCGGAAGTGAGTGGAGGCTGCATGCTTGCGCTATGACCAGATACAGGAGCACTGTATTGTTGACCAAATCCCTGAAATCATTTATCAGATATAACTTTAGAAATTCACCTTTCAAAAATGTTGCTTTTTTGCATATGACATCATCCACACTGAAGAGAGAACATTTATAATAATAATAACAATCTTTTATTAGGAAAAAACTATCACATAAGTGTGGTTTTCATAGAATTCCTAAGTAAAAGCATGAACCAGTATTCATTTACTCTATGCTGACTGTTTTGTCTTCTTTAGTTCAAATAGCTTCTCTACTTTAGTGCTTCATGCTTTTCCTGAAAGCACTCTACCAACTGTAGAAAAATTTCAAAATACAGTTGAATATAACTTGGCTATAAGTGATTGTTTTTGTTAATACCATCCCTAAGGAAAGAGTATTTACTACCTTATCAGACAATGCAAGGAAACACAAAATCAAATATTTTTCCTGAGCTCCTTAGCTTTTCCTGATGAAAATATTAAAAACATATATCACAAGGCAAGTTCCTACATATCCCAGCAATTGGTATCTTTTTCATGCTCTTTTWCAAAGGAACTTTTTTTTCACTTGTCCAACGCAGGAACAGTAAGTATGGAGGTAGGACAATGAATCAGGACTGGTCAAAATGATGGTGTCAAATGCGCATTAAAATTCAGAATAAAAACAGAATTGTATGAGAGGTTGCATTGTATGATCTTTAATTCAGCTGTCTAACTTTGCAGCATATATACAGTCGTTGTGCCTACTACGAAGTAGTAGACACTATGTAATCGAGTCTATGCAAATGAGTAAGTAACAATAGAATGACGTCAAAATGCAGTCAATACCCCTTTGGAAGACCCATAAACACAGCAAGCCATCAGAAGCGATCAGCAGAACATATAACTTTAGTACGAACAACCGCCAAAATTTCTCGCAACCAATGTGAATCAATCATCATTGCAGATTTACTAACATGTTCAAGAAAATTCCTCGTGGTAATTCACTGCTATGAAAGTTTGTGACATGTGTTTGCTTTGTTGAGTATGTTTTGCCTTAGTTGTTCTTTACTACCAATATTCAGTGTAATGAAGAGTTCTATTAGTATTCTAAAAGTTTTAGGTCTTTCTTTCAGAAGAAACAGCTCTAAACAGCCAGATAAAGCTCAACTGGTTCCCAACAACATGACTACACGCATGAACAAACAAAAGTCTACTGAATGCATTCTATTAAAGAAACAATGCTTAGTTATAACTTCCATTGTTCACAATAATGACTAATTAAACTATTATTTAGATTTTATTTCATGGAGATATTGCTCGCACTTTATTACTTTGTATTTCAATAAACACTGCTTTGTATTGTTATTAGCAATAAAAAAATAAAATACATAGTGTTATCTCGAGAAGTGGCAAAATGTAAATGCTGATTGAGTCTAAATGTTTGTGTTCCACAGATTTACTAAACACTATGTATCCGCTTCACTTATATTTACAATTATGCATACAATCATAGCAGACACATGCACTCATTGAGTGCCTTTAACTGTAGTGCAGCTTTTCCATTGTAGGAACATCATCCTCAATATGCATTGAGTAATTGGGATGTTGATAATTGGATATGTCTAATTTAAGCTTTTTTTACAGCAGGCGTGTGCTTGTACAATGAAACACATTGACGAGTGTTTGCCAAAGATTGTTATTAGCTTTTGAAGTGACTTTTTAATGAAGTCAGTCTCGCCGACATGAGGTAATACTCGCCCATATCAAATATCAAGTAAGAAAAAGGCTATATTAGCTTTAAATACCTGCTGTTATGGTCTATAAAATTAAAAATAGACCACAGACAAACAGCCAATAAGAATGCTGAGTTTACATTTGCTAGATGGTAATGTACATTATACAACTTTTCAGTAAAATCAGACGTTTTGATTACAATACAATACAATACAATAAACTTTATTTAAGGAGGGTGACACGATTAACCCAAAGAGTTATCTAACACGTGGCCCTCACACTACTGAAACAATTACAAAATATAAGAAATAATATTGGTTGGCTTTAATGTGTTACCAAAGTATAGATACACGGATTACGTCAAAACTAATTGTTTGTTGTATAAAACAGATAGATCTCATTTTTCCGTGTGTGTGTACTCTAATAGATACACAGATGAYGTCAAAATGTAGTGAGAACAACAGTCACGCACTCGACTGCGTCTCGTGCATACTTTTTTGTTCTCACTACATTTTGACGTCATCTGTGTATCTATTAGAGTACACACGCACGGAAAAATGAGATCTATTTGTTAAATATATATTTATTTCACCTAGAGACAAGATATTGCATAGTTTCAGAACAGTAACTGATTATGATGTGAAAAGTTGATATAGAATGGTTGAAGTTTAACCTTCTCTAGTATTTAAGAAAAGACTCTCAAAAGGAGACCAACATCTAAACCGTTTCCTATCCTTTCATGTTATACATTCATCTTCACAATTGTTATGTTAGAATAAGTGTAACGTCTAGTTGCCTTGTCTTGAAGCACTATTTGTTCAATAAAACTTCACAAATAAACTCATTGCTGTACAGCACAATCATCGCAAAAGGACAAAAAAAATGTAATTTGAAATCTGCTTTTAGAGCATGGTATAAATTGCTATTCCTTGCAATTTTCTTTGTAAAACAATTTTATATATATAGATGTTTACATATAAGTGTCAAGTGCCTTATGGCGTGTACAGAGATTTTGATTGCTGACAGCAACAATTACCAACTAGCATTGATTGCAAAGTGTAGACATTTTTTTTTTCCAACCCAGGAAGAGGTGAAGAAAGTAAAATATGAATGAAAATATAACCAACAGCCATGAGTTGTTATCAATTACCAATGTGAAAAGGTTTAATGACTTTCAGAACCCACAAGACATCAATAATAGGATAAAATAGTTGAGTAAATAAAGACATCATACGATAACATGTTTGCTACAATGAATCGCTTCAATTATCAACATTGTACCTCAGGATTTGACATTTTCTTGAAACGACTTATAAAATACATGGTCGAATACCAGTCAAAACGTCTGTGATAAATAGGAAACTTTTCCAAGCAATAACTTGAGACACTGACTATGTTTTTTACATACAACGCTTAATTGTAACGAGAAATATTATGAGAAATCTCTCACTTCTCACCTCTAAAGACTGCTGTGAACCATTCTCTGAACTTCCCCCATGTAGCAACATATTCATGAGATTTTGGTTTCCACTTTCCATTGCTTGACTCTTATCCTACAAGAACAAAAGGCGGTCAAGCCATTAGGCTTGTGTAGACGAAAGTGTCGTCTTGTTGATGTGGACAAGTGATCTTGGCTCAATGTCAGCATCGATGAACACGTGGTGTGTTAAAACACCCCAGAAACAGCAATACAAAGGTCTTTAACTAACACAAACTACACAATACTAACTAATAATGCCCTAGGAGCAGTAATATCGACCAAAAACCAAGAATAAATGCATCTTTGAGTTGCATGATTGAGTTACACACGCTTGAAATCCTAAGCTTTAAAAATGCCAAAAAATACAGGCCATATGATTTGCATATTACTACGAAACACACGTCTCTCGACTCGAACTTTTGCGACTTTTGWGAAGTTAAAACTCCTATGTATACTTACCAATAGATTTTTGGGTAGTTTGTGAGAATTTATAGGGTAAAATGTTAGGTTTTCGCAGCAGGTTTTCAAATGCCTTTTGACTCCATGAGAGGAGCATCGCGTTCAAGGGAGCTTCTTCCGCCCAACATTGAACAGCGGCTTCACCCACCACCCATTCCCAGACCTCCTCTCGGAAATCACGAACGGAAACCGGAAGTTGGATTATGCGATTATGTTATTTACGTTACTGACTAAATTCTATTTGATATCTCGTACGAATCTCTCTATCTTTTATAAACATCGCAATTAAATTAGAAAATAGTATAATATATATTCATAAACATAAAATAAATAAATTTCATTTATAATATTTTCTTCAAAACTGGAGTAAATGGGTATAAAAATTGGTAAAGTTGACCATGTAAGACATGTAAAATGTTGACTAGTATTGCAGAGTATTGGGCTGACTTTTAATCTAGAAAAATAGCACATGAACAATGTATCATGACAATCACACACTTATAGCAGACCCATTTAACCTTGGCACCAAATTATTTTTAAATTTTCTCGATTTCTGATTGGTCAAGAGCTGTGGTGAATAAATACATAAGTACATACCACTGATGCAAGATTTTCCCTTTTTTTGGGGGGGGGAGGGGATGGAGAGGGTGGGTGAATTGCTATCTAATTGTTGAATATTTTTTTGATTTGAGCCATCTCATCATCACAATTAGCCTGTGTACATCCGTTTCTCACCCCTAGAAACGGATGTACACAGGCTACATCACAATTGGATGAACAGTAATTTTGACTATTAAAATAGTTTCAAATCTTTCTAAAAGTACTTTTTTATATTCATTTCTGCTCTGACTAATTAAAAATTAGACCTCAAGGTCTAGTGGACTACGAGCTAATAGCTCATGAGGCTGAATCCGCGAGGCCGAATGGGCTATTAGCTCAAAGTCCACGAGGCCGAAAGGTCTAATTGTTTTAGTATAAACATATAATACTAATCGGTCAAATAATGAAAACAAATTGAAATATCCTAAAATAATTTATTAATGAGATTGATTTTCCCGCGAGTGGTCTATCACAAATTAGACCATTAGTAGAGTAGCCAATCACAGCGCAGTATGAGTGATAGACCATTAGTATGTTTATACTAATACCAATTATAGTGAAAATACACTGCTGGAGTAAACAGTACACAAACAAAAATCATTACAATATCATTTATAAAAATGTTTTATTCCAATATTGTGTAGACAAGAACATAGAATGGGATGCTGTACTAACAATTTATATTCTAATTGTTACTCAGATTCAATTTTCTCAATTATTTTTTGCCTTTTTCCTTTTGTTCCTTTTTTCTCCTTTTTCTTGCTTGATGAAATATCTGTTTGTTCTGTATTTGTTTCCTCAGTGGCTGGTATTTTCTCTTGTTTGTTGTCTGTCTGTCCTGTATTTACAGTGGTTGGTATGTCGGGAAGTGAGTTATGTATAGGTAAAGATATTGAATCTGAGGTTTTGATATTTAGTGATTTGATATTTTTCCATCCACGAGGAACAATACTGGCAATGTGTTTTGTTGCTTCAATGATGTTTGCTACCACTTCTCCTGTGTTCTGTCCAGTGTGTCCAATTCGAATGGCACTAATATATGATAAATAATACAATATCAATACAAACATGTATATGTCAAGAGACGATTTCCAGGATACCCTCAAACTTTTAAAAATATAGCAGCATAGTTCTGCACAAAAATACTTTATTTTCAAGGAYGTGCATGTGACATTTTCAAATTTTGTATCCTTGAAACTATCTATCAGTTATGTCGTCTTTATCTACCAACCTATATGTATAGGAAATCACACAGCCTTCGGTACAATTTGGAATTAATAGTCACGAGTAATGTTTCGAAAGTTCTTCATTCTCCGGGTTCGTGCAATTATGAAGAACTTTCAAAACAATAAGAGTGACTATTAATTACAAATTGTACAAGAGGTTGTGCGATTTTTTGTTTATAAATGCTGTAATATTGTCATGGCCGCCTGAATGACTTAGACGGCAATGTTGACTCTTTGACTTAGACGACGACATTGTCTGGTTTCCTAATGGACTCAGACGTTAAAGTGTCTACCTAACGGACTTAATAAGATGACTTGTCTGACCAACTGTCCAACTTAGACAGAAAGGTGTCTGGTTTTTGGTCAATTTAGACGGCAAAGTGCCTAGCTAACAGTTCAACTTAGAAGAAAAAATAGTTGTTTAATTATGTATTTCAACGAAAAAGTGTTTGGCTAACTGTGTGATTTTGTTGTCTGGCTAACTGTGCGGTTTTGACGGAAAAATGACTGATTAACTGATTGACTTACAATCCAGTATTAAGACATGAAGGGGCGGATGCGAAAACGGCCTAAGTGACGATTTAGTGTGTGTTTTTGAAATTTTCGAAAAATTGACAAAAAATCGCTTCAATCATTTGTTTCTGGTCTAAATCATCATGTTTGCTAGTTATTTCTCGTGATTTCCTTTTAAAAATCGGAAAAAAAGTCGACATTTACTTACAGACTGTACCCTCCCCTCCCCCAAACTTTAGCGGCATAGGGCTATTTCCAGCCTTATGCAAGAGTTAGGGTTCCTATAGCCTAAGACATGGGGCTAGGGTTGCTTGATTTAGGGTTAGGGTTAGAATAGTTAGGGTTTAGGGTAGGGTAGGGTTAACGTTAGCTAAGCGTTAGGCTCTAAAACCTGAGTTTGTAAAGCAAACAAACTCCCCCCCCGCTCCCCCCCCGAGTCCACATGACGACTTCATGATGGACGAAGTGTGTAATTTATTCTAAACCCGAGTTACACATGATTATATTGATTTTAAGCTTTTGTAGAGACGTTCGAAGCGATTTGATGGTATGCGAGGTATTTGTTGTTTGGCCGACCGCCATTTTGTTTTGAAGTGTGATTCATGTTCGTGTTTGGTGTTTTTCACGAGAACTGTGATTGTAATCTAGGGTAACATGAATTCCAGAGCTGTCTTTATTCGTATTTGAAACAATAAGAGCATCTTAACAGCCTTTTTTATGTCGATAAAGAATTTTCAAAGCGATAACAATGAATTACACACTTTGCCGTCCGTGTTGAAGTCGTAATGCACACTTTGAAGTTTGTATAAAATCACTTAAACAGCATGGATGACTGCGCTACTCAGTTTGACATTGAAAAGCCAGTTAAGCGACAGTTGAAGTCACAAAAATTAACCGAAAACAAGGGCAGTTTTGACTCTAATTCTCGCCTACAGTGACTAAAAAGCGCTATTTCCTTGTCTTTTTTTTCTACAAAATTCTAGATTTCAAGAAGCGAATGACTGTTGGTACACAATTTTAGTCCTACTTCTGTCATTTAAGCGTTCTATTTTTCACATTTTCCATAAAGATCTCATGCTATGGCTTTCTCTTTGGACACTGATTCAGAACACGTGTTTTAACTGGATTTTTGCGCGAAATGAATTCTGGGAAAAAACTACACACGGCGCGAGCAACCGTCTCGTCCAATCTGAAATAGAAATTTATATAAAGTCTACAGCCTTCTCGGAAATCTGCCAAAATTTCAAGTCGCTTTTGTTCCTCAATAGCCAAAACATCCAAAAATTACCGTGGCAGCTCCAAGGATTTGCCTTTAGACGGTCTTTTAAGTGATTCTCTTCAAGCGACTGTCCAAGTTAATCGAATGAACCGCGGAATCAAAATCGCTTAAAAAGTCACACACCAAGCTGGATTCTTTCAGCAAGTAAGCTCCTTCGCTACCTACAAACTTAATGATGTCCGTAGAATAGTGACTAAAGGCAAAAAGGCTGAGAAAACCGCGAAAAAMCTCATTTCTCAACTTCTTGCAGCACAGCTTCGAACCAAAACAAACCGACAAACCAACTGTCAAAGTCATGAGTTTAGCGCGAATATGCAAATCTAGGATATTTTACGGTCTAGCGATCAGTTGTCAAGCCAAAGAAGTCGGTAACTATGGGTCCTTTTTTGCTCTTTTTGGATAGAAATCAGGAGAAATAAGTACTAAATAARGTTATTTAGACTTAAAATAAGCGATTGGAATGATGTTTTTTTAATTTTTCGAAAATTTCAAAAATACCCTAAATCGTCACTTAGGCCATTTTCGCATCCGCCCCTTCAATTTTACTCTTCTCAACCAATGAAAAAGTATTATTTTGTTAAATGTACTATAAAAACTCTAACAGCAAACTGGAATTGAGCCTCTAGCCATGTGATGGGCCATGACCTACTAATATAGGTCAAGGGACCTACTTTATACCTACAAGGGCCTAACCACTGATATAATTCCTTACCTACAAGGGCCTAACCACTGATACAGTTCCTTACCTACAAGCAGGCATTCTGATATAGTGCGATGATGCGATTTCGCATAATCACCTAAAAATTGCTTTTTTCCRCATAATAGATAAAAATCGCATAATTAGTCAAAAATTGCATAGTTTTCAAAGCAAAAACATGTTTCCCATTAAAAATAAATTAAGTTCTGTCTATTTCATTTTAGAATTTATCGATATAAACCTTTTTTTAGTGGAAAATCATCCAATATTCTATCAAAACAAACGTGCCTAATATGATTTCGTCATTTATCTACAAGGCGTTACTTGCTCGACAGCAGAGTCTGGGAACTGGTGCTACATGTAGTTTTATGGCGGAGCTCCTTTTCTTTTCTACCAAAGATTTCTTTAATGGATTCTGTGTATAATCTTTTCGAAATATTTCTTCCGAATATTTTAATTAAAGTTAAAAAAGATAGAAAGAAAAAAAAAGATGTGTCCAGAAGCTGCTCAAGTCGAGAATCAAACTCGCGATCTCGACGCCGCTATTGCAGGCGAGTGATAAGAAAACATTTTGTATAATGATAATATTGACATGAAAATGTGTAAATTGCTCTCACTTGGCTAACTGCAAGAAAAGGCTTACTAAAATGCGCCTTTTTACCAGTTCCAGGCCGAAAAAAAATTGTAGCGACTTTATAYTTTTTTMASGTTGCAGTTTAGCAATCCCCAGGGACCAAATTAAAACTTGAAGTAGTAAAAGTCATTAGTCTGTTCTTTTAAATTAGATAAACACTAAAAGCCATAGAATCGTAAATGAAATGTTTTTATGTGACAAAAAATTTAAATAAAMATGAGAAAAAGATTTTGCAATATTGCATAATTTACCGCATAATCGGGCATTTTTGCCACACAATTGAACATTTTGTGCCACATAATTTGATGTTAAAATGTCGCATAATTTTCATTAACCACTGATATAGTTCCTTACCTACAAGGGCCTAACCACTGATACAATTGAACATTTTGTGCCACATAATTTGATGTTAAAATGTCGCATAATTTTCATTAACCACTGATATAGTTCCTTACCTACAAGGGCCTAACCACTGATATAATTCCTTACCTACAAGGGCCTAACCACTGATACAGTTCCTTACCTACAAGGGCC